CATTTTGGAGGGTGAAGAAGAATTTGCCAGGAGTACCATCTTCTTCTCGTCCTAATCCTCATCGACTACGAGAAAACCTTTGACAGCTTTATTGCTACGGCCATCCTGTCAGCACTAGTCGATCACTGAGTAAAGCCAGCTTATGTGGAATACTTGCGAACGCTACAAGGACTGCACAACGACGGCAGCTATTTGATTGCTCACTGACCATCCCAATCGAGAAGGGTGTCCGACGGGGCGACACCATCGCACCAAAGCTGTTTACCACGTCCTTGGTAATTGATGTGGCCACTGGATGGGAGAGAAAGGCATACGTGTTGATGCGAGATTCCTGTCGTACTTTCGGTTTGCAGACGATATCTTTTACTGTTCGAGCAGTCTAACTGAAACATAGACGATGGTGAAGGAACTATGCGAAGTAGGGGAAGAAGATAGGATCGCGAGTAAGTCGGAAGAAGACTCAGTTCTTAAGAACACCCCGCGGAAAGGGAAAAGCATCTCACCACGGAGATGTTCTCTTTAGTGTATATCATTCAATAAAAATGAGACGACTTGAGAAAAGAAGGTAGCAGGAGAAGAAGAGCAGCCTGGGCCACCGTCGGGTTCCCAATGGAAGCCCCCAACCAGGTGATGGACTAGAAGCTAGCCTACCTCCTCCACTCTAGTGCTCCAAATGTGGATACCTCGCAAAGTAAAACGTCATCTAATTGTAAGAAGATCATCAACGAGATGAGCAGATTGATTCATGGAACGACGGATCAGCTGAGAAATCAGCTATTCTCACACCTGGGAGTCGTGGATACAACCACCCGACAGGTAAGAAAACCGTGGATGTCTGAAGCGACGGACAGAGACGATGAAAGCTCCTGTGCTGTGCCTTGCACGCAACTGCCACTCGAGGGAACATTTGAGTACTTAATTGAATAAGTAAATAATGGCGCACTTGTTTTCCAGTTAAATTTTTGGTTTATACTTCTTTCAACCTCTTCCGCGCCATGAAACTTTTCAAACTATAGTTGGGGATATTCACACAAACATGTTGAAGAACCTGTAGCATTGTCCATCCATAGAATGTCGCGGGCAGGGAGAGAGGAAGGGAAAGTCTTTGTTACTGTATTTGATTATGGGTCATGAGTCATAATATAAAGAGCCTGCTTCTATTTCCGAAAAACTGAAAATTCTCACTTTTGCAGAAACCATTACAGCCATGGAAGTCTTACAAAGGCTTTTCAATAGTAATGTGAGTGAGTAATGCTGCGAATACATTCAAGTCTAAAATCCTTAGGTCGCTTCTGCGAAAGAATATCTGCAGCTACCATATTTTACAAAAAAAGGTTATCCACGAAGAGCATATATCACATATATTTAGCTTCTTTTATGTTATACCAACATATTGAAGCTGAGAGAGATCCGATTTTTGGGAAAAACCAAGTGCGCAACCAAACCAAATAACTTGAGACAAAAGACCAAGCGGACGGCAGCCAAGAAGCAGCTGTGTCAACAATGTTCTATACATCACACCTATGTGCTGTGTAGTGTATGCCAAGTATTGTTTATTCGCAGCAAATTTTTGAGCACCTGATTCCATTCGATCCAAACAAAGAAAAAACACGATTGAGTGGGAAGCATTAAGAAAAGATCATCTGCGCAAGCTCTGACCTTTGCGAATCTATCCCAGAAATTCGATTGTAGATCTAAAGCGCTTTGCAATGGTGCCAGTTAGAGGCTAAGTTTTGCGACAAAAAGTACAAAAAATTCTTTGAAATGTTTGAAACGGTTTATTAATCTGCAGAACATATTTTTATAGAGCATACACAATGCAGCACTCTACAAGGCCCGTATGCACGTACATCACCGCGGGGAGAGGAGAGGATCTGAGAGGGGAAGCGTCATATCTCGCTAGTCTACATATTTTTCTTCTCCTTTCTCTATCTTGGTTATGAAGTTTCTCATACACTGATACTGCGCATAACGGATGCTAGGTTACTGCCATACAAGATTAGATATTCACTATTTTGTCTGATCCCTTGGGGATCCCCAGGGGATTACCTCACAGTTTCAAAGTCGTTTATCTTCCTGAAAACTCGATGAAAACGCTATAAAATGTACTGAAGATACACTACGATACTGCTGAGCATGTTTTCGACGGAAGAAATGGAAACTGAAGACTTTGATTTTTTCGATAATCCCTGGCTCGCGAGCAGCGGTTCATCGAAGATTTTGATCTCTCGAGATTACACTCATTTATACTAAAAACATGTTTACAGTGCTGTAGTATATCCTCAGTACAATTTTGGAGCATTTTCATTGAGTTTTCAGGAAGAAAAATGACCTTGCATACGGGTCTAAGACATATTAGAGGTTTGATCTGAAACATATGAAAGACGATTATGTTTGTTTGTCGTTTCGAAGACCGCACGTATTCGTAGAGATGCATGATCAGAGATTTTCCCTACATTAGTTGAAAAGACTAAATCACGAAACCAACCAAAATTTGATTTAATGCTTGTTTGTCGTTTGACAATTTCAGAGATTCAATGGAAAAGCACGATCTATGTTCCCCAGTACGGCAGTAGCGTATGACCAAGACCTTAATCACCAATAGCAAGGTAGCTCGCGTTGTTCCACATCGGGTAGCGTGATTGCTACCAGAAATGCATGAATGATGCGTAGTTGCGTCATCCTTCATTTGATTACCTTAGAAGGATATTCCACATTATCTAGAAACTTCCTCTTACTTACAGCTCGTTTAATGAGTGAGATTCTAAGGGTCTGCCCAATTTCGACTTCTCGTCTGCACCGGCTCGAACGGGTTACTGCCTTGGAAAGTTAACACGGTATAAATGCAGATTTCAATTGTTTAGTTTTTAAGAGTCCATCACTCAAACGATTCTGTTACATGAATGTGCTGGCATCATTATAGTCTGGGCAATGTTTCGCATCCAATCCCCCTTTATCAGATGTTGCAGTGAAAGATTACGCAATGTGTTTTGGAAGGAATTTCCGTTCATGCCTTACCGCAAACAAAGTTCTTTACTGTATTATCGAATAACGCTTGTCCTCGGACTGAGATGATTTGACTCTCAACACTCGTTGAAAGAAATGCAAATACGATGCGTAGTTGGTAATCCCACAAAAAGACATCTAGCAGTATATGCTAAATATCTTTGTTCGTTGTATTCAACATTTCACTGCTCCAATAAAAATAATATTAGTTTAATTTTTAAATGTCTTCTCCTTTAATTTCTTCATAGTTTTTGGTCGTACAGTCTGTTGAGATCGCAAATCTAAAACTTAATTTCTTCGCCAAACTGAAGCTAGCTGAGAGGATATAAAGATATTTTGACCAAGCATGAAGACTATTTTGCTGCGAAGCAGAGCGGGAATACTACTGATTTGATGATATAAAAAGTATTTTAAGGGAGAGCAAAAAGAGCATGTGCAGTGTTGAATCATGGTTGATGATTTGATTATTAGTTGACAATCGGCCGCAGTTTGTGAGCATATCTCCCAATTGTAGTATTTCACATTTGACAACGTTTGACTGCCTGGAGGCAATGAAAAACGTTTGTGGTCCGAGCATGATCCACTGAATTCTACGGCCAAATGCGAATGAATTTGTTCTCCGTGTAACATATGAAAATTAATATGTGCACCAGTGGTCTGGATTAGTGGAAGACTGTCAGGAAAGCAATGGTCACCCAAGATTCACAATGGTTACAGCAATTTTCTAACAGGACAGCCTTCGTTTTGGATAAGGTGTTATGACCGGAACGGTTTGATGGCATAATGCTTCTCGCAGTGGCGGTCTAAGCAATATTGTTGGGGAGAGAGGGGGAGGGCGACAGAAATTTCACTGAGGGATTTGGCGCTAAGCACGCCCTCCGGAGAATTTTTTGAGACATCCTTCATGAAAGGTTAACGAACCTGTACCCAACCTTTATGATAGATAACTCGCGTTCAAATTATTGTGCGGCAAGCTTATTTGCATGTATTCCAAGAAGTCGCGGTTCTGCTCAACAAAAGTATGTGATGTTGTCAACAGAGACTATCTTTCAAGCTGTCAGGGTTCGAAAGCTCAAAATGTACAAGTATCATTCAACAATCCTCTTCACATTTTGATCTTCAGATTCAGGTGACCATTATATACAAGGTGAATGTGGCCCACAAGGCTGATAACCCGAAAGCAATAACCACTTGTTAACATCATTTATTTGCCGTAGGAATGCTGCGAAAATTGAGGGAGAGAGAGAGAGTCACAACTGACCTGCAAATCTAGTTTGACTCAGTAGAAAGAAATACGCACAGCTTTCATTGTGTACCAATGATTCTATTTGCTACTTTGCTATTTCGGTAATGCTTTGTTTAGCTAGAAAAAATAATGAGATTATTCTGCAGGTTTTGCGTCCCCGAAATTTCATGAGCGTTCGTTCTGATTGCGGAAGAAAATATTGCTTAACGTTGGTATGTCTTCGAAAAATGCTTTAGACATCAACTCCAAGATTGTCTGCTAATGTGTGCAATATATTTGAAGCGCGTATGAGCTACGAAATTTCCTGGTTCGCCAATTCAAACTTTGCATAGATGAAACACCTCTTTGTACGGTTTTCTTAATCTAACTCAATTTCGCCAAATTATGTCGCACTTATGATGCTAAAATCTGTAAAATGGTCTCGCGATACCTACATGACATTGCTTTTAGTGGGCAAACTTTCACGGTACTAAATATAAAGACTCACCTGGAATTAGGCATATGCAGAATGTAGCTATGCTCTCTTACTTATGGCCTATAAAGTGAAAAAACTGTCGGAAGTCTTGAGATGGAACGACGATTACGCAATGGTATCACTATACCTGCGTAGCTCTCTTACCTTTCTTTGGCCTAGCTGCCTTTTTCTTCTTTGGGGTTGGAGCTCTCTTCTTTTTCTTTGAGTCTATTGCCTTCCTTTTCTTTTGGGCTGCCTTTCTTTTCTTTGGAGACTGATGCTTCTTATTTTTACCCTTAGTTTTCTTCTTGTTGTTCCTGGCCTTTGCACTTTTCTTCAAAACTTTTTTCGCCTTTGACTTGTTTCCCGCTGGTATAGATGGCTTAGGTGGTACTGGTGGTGCTGGCCCTGGCTCTCCTGGTGGGGCTGGTGGCCCTAGTGGGCTACGTGTTCCTTCGTCCTCATTGCTTGTTTCGCTCTTTGGTGATTTTTCTCGGCTAGCTGTTTCCTCGCTACTTCCACTCTCACTTGGAAGACCCTGCAAGCGGCATATGAATATAATTGTAATAATAACACTGTAGATGATTGCATCTTTTAAGGTATTGCGATGGTCCGAAATACTTCCTAATTTGTTTTGAAACCGCAGCGGCGGAAAGATATGCTGTATTTTCCACCAGTTTCTATGCTGTATTTTCTATCGAAAATTGTTATCAGTGTGCCCCACTCCAACTTTTATTGATATGGGATGAGATTATAATTGTCTGGTTAGCAAAAGCTCTTGAGCTTTGCTATGGTCGCAGCAACTATTCATTTTTAGGGCTCTATTTCTCAAATAAAACAATTTAGAGACAGATGCCACTGCCATATGTAAACAACTTCACAAACATTGCCTTTTCTCTCAAAAAAAAACAGTCATTAAAGGCAGCGTCCAGGCAAATTTGGAAATATGAGAATCTCACGTGGACAGTGATTTTGGGACTTCAATTAGGATACCCAAATTGGCAGCTCTGGTGGTGTTCTAACGGCTAGGATGTTCGCCTCTTAGTGGGACCCCAGGATCATAATTCGCATGGACTCATGGCGCGACACATCAGTCTCGCGTAGTCCTCTCGCGAAAGCATGCAAACACGGTGCAAGTTGTCTGATAATACGATCCTGAGGTCCAGTTTGGAGGCGTATCTCTCAGCCGTTAAGAGTAGTGCAACTTCTTTTGCGCTGCCGCTTGAGCCGTGCGCCTTAGTTAGGGCCCAAAATTACTTTTCACACAAAATTACTATACTTCCAGATATGCCTGGACGCTGGCTTATAGTACTCGACTGTGAATTCCGAAAGGAGCGTTTCACAATCAGCACTCGAAGCTATACCTCGAATCATCAAGCTTCTTGAAAACATTGCATTAAGTGCAACTTCTTTTGGCTGCGTTGCAGTTACTCCTTCCTTTTCATCACTAGTAGGCGCTTCCGCATTTACTTGGTGGCATTCAACTGCTTTGATATTCATTCGTGAACGTCATTTTCAAACTCACATACTCCTTTTGACCATTATTCTTAAAGGGTCAACCTCATTGGGAACCTTCCCAAATGTAACATGTTACCATGCGCTTTGATACAATACCGTATAAGAGCGTACAAGCGATTCATAGCACGCAAAGACTGTGGACTAATCGGCGCCTCACTGATTCAGTGCTCCTTCGTTTCTCTTACCATCTGCTGCCTCTCCCAGGCACGAACTATCTTGCCCGAACGCAACGGCGCTCAGTCTTTGCGTATCATGAATTGTGTAAACAATACCGTTCGTAATCTTATATATAAAGCTGAATGTCTGTTTGTATGTATGTATGTATGTATGTCTGTACGTATGTTCCGAATAGAAAATTCCATTTCTGTACCGATCGGGACCAAACTTGGCACACATACACTTCGGGCCCCGGCGGGTGTCATAGGCTACTTTTCGTATCGATCGATATCGATTTTATCGATTTTTGGCAAAATTTGAGCTACGGGGCTGGGAGTTAGCACAGGGGGGTAAGTGAGCATGGGGATTCCGAATACAATATTAGTTTTCAAAATCGTGCATTACTTTTATCGATTTTATCGATTTTTTTGCAAAGTTTGAGCTACGGGGCTGGGATTTGGCACAGGGGGGTAATCGAGCATGCTGATCACCCCCACGGGGGTGATCAGCATGCCCGATTACACCCCCTGCCAAATTCCAGCCCCGTAGCTCAAATTTTGCAAAAATCGATAATATCGATAAGAGTAATGCACGGTTTCGAAAACTAATATTGTATTCGTAATCAGCATGCTCGATTACCCCCCTGTGCCAAATCCCAGCCCCCTAGCTCAAATTTTGCAAAAAATCGATAAAATCGACATCGATCGATAGAGGAAAGTGGACTGTGACACCCACCGGGGCCCGAAGTGTATGTGTGTCAAGTTTGGTCCGGATCGGTTAAGAAATGGAATTTTCTATTTGGAACATACGGCGGAGCCGGGTAAGCCAGCTAGTTTGTGAAAAAAATCCCCGCACTCCGCCGGAGTTCGCCGCACTTTGGTTGCATTGCCATATCCTGCTTCGAATGGATAATATAAGTCCAAAAGCACCAGTCAACTCAGCTCGCGAGATGCATCTTTTTATATATAGAGTGACTGTTTGGACACGTTAGTCAGTTGACTTTTAGAGGATCCTCAATTTTTGCTCACTGTAGGTTACTAAGAGTGTTGTATCATTGCACAAAGACCAACCTACCGAAGCAAAAAAGTGTCCCTGGAATTTCACCGACAGAGACTTCTTTATTATTATACAAAAATGCATCTCGTCGAGCTGAGTTGATGGTGCTTTTGGATTAAGAATTCGTCTACTCCGAAGCAAAATATGGCGATGCAACCAAACTTCGGCGAACCCGGCGGAGTGCAATGATTTTTTTTACAATTTACGAGCGGTACCGTATGTTTCATTCAGTGACATTTTCATTTGCTTACACATTCGCTTACTCACACAATCTCCGAAACCACCCTCCTCTTCCTCCTCAGATCCGCCTTCGTCTTCATCATTTACTTAAAGGCAAACTCAGACAGTCGAAGGGTTACTCTCACCGTAACGTCACGGTGACGTCACGGTGAACGAATGGGACCCCTCTCCGGGACGCGTCTCTACTCCGGAGGTGCGCCAGATTTGGGAGAGCCCCGAAGCACCAAAATGGGTGAAATGGCAGGGCCCCGGGGCGCTCCAGAGCGCGAAGTGGCAGACTCGCGCCATTTGCCCACCGGAGGTATCCCTTCAACTGTCTGAGAATGTAAGCTTCTTAACCAAAAACAGCGAAATATAATAAATGAGCTTGCAACTCTAGAGCTCATTTATTATATTTCGCTCGTTACAACTTTGTCAATCACTTAATGTAAAAGCAGCCGCGTAGATTTTTTGTTGCTGTGTGCAACTGCACTTCCAGGATGAGGTTCATGAGTCTACAAGAAAGGGAGGATCCCCAGTCGCAGTGGCGAATTGAAATGAAATGCATATCGCTGCGTTTCGATGAGCTGACTTCAGGGCCCGTAGTAAACCCCACCTGGTTGTCACAACATAGACGGGCTATGTCGTGATAGCTCGGAGTACTTCGCAAGACTATAGCGAGCTATCCGCAGGGCGCCGCAAAACCAATGCATAAACGCGTGATCGAACCACTGATAATCGCAACAGCAGCGCCCACAGCAACTGCACTATGGATAGGCAGTTTTAAAGGTGTACCAGCTTCACTTAAAAACAGAAGGGAAACAAAAGGCTCACAGCTAAGGAATGACAAACCAGCAAGTGAAGAAAGTGCTGAGAAGGAACATTGAGGAGTTTTGGCATAAGCAGGATATTTGGTGCGCAAATGAGATGCATCGTGAGAATAAATAAGAACAACAGCAACTATTATAAAATGTGACCAAATACGGATCTAATACATGTTTTAGTCGAAAGAAACTTACCTTTTTTGAACACCAGAGCGTGCAGCTTAGGAAGTAATTCGAAAATGTAGGAAGGCACATTGCTCGGCGCTGTTGGGCGCTTATCAGCTGTTGATATTGATTGCAATTGACGTGCGTTACAGAGAACCGTGTGCATGTGCGACCTATTGTGAGGTTGGCGTAGTCGAGCTCTACTCTTGCGCTATGTCTCTGCGTCTCCATGATGGACAAAGTATTTCGCCGTCTCGTCCGTCACGACATGTCGCAATATGTCGCTATATGTCGCGACATATAGCGACAAAGTGGGACTACCCTGGCGCTTCGCATTGATTGCGTCCGCCGGCAATGATAAAGAATAGCCACCTTGCCTGCCTCCCTCCATGGTAGTCAGCACATGTCACAGCAGACTCCGAGTTATACGTCAGCACATACGGGGGGTTTACTACAGGCCCAGATCTACCTTCCGTATCTGCTGCGGTATTCTGGAAGAAGTTCTGAGTGATTTGAGTTGAATCGTTCTGGTTCTCGTGCATAATGTTCGAAAATCAGCATTGGCATGATTGGCAAAGCTTTAAGTGTGCTGACTACAATTAATGCACCCATTGAACAGGTTGTTATTGGAAATCTAATTTTAAGACGCGCCACTGAACGTCCAATAGTTAGAATTTGAAACTTTTAACTTCTTTTAGGAAACCGCACAGGCAGAAATGGAGGTTAACACATTTACGACAACGCAAATTTTTGATTGTCTGCCTCTTGGGACCAAAACCTTTCACGGACCAGTCAGTATTTTTTAGATAAAATCACGCATACTGCCATCTACAGTATATCTACTGTAGCAGTGAAGGGCTGACAAAGAAGTTAGAGGTCATTACTAAATTCACAGCAAAAGGAAACTTCAGGGATGAGTTTGTACTAGGATAGTCGTCATTTTAACGAAGTACAAGCCTTGACACACATGGTGTGTCAAGAGGTCGTCAATGTGTTAAATTGAAATTCAGTTCAATGAAACGCATCTAATGGCATGCATTTCGTTCCCATTTCCCATTTTTCTTAGTCTCGTCATGATATAGTGTTCATCAAGATGAGCAATTTCTTTTGGTTGAATATTAAAATGTACTTTATCAAAAACTTGGCCCAAATGTAGATCTGACAACGAGACACAGGAAAACAACTGCATTTCCTCTTACTACCATAATCATTACTATCAAGCTTGAACTTATATATAAACTCTAAATGCTGTTTATATTTGTGTTGATTTACACAATTGTCTTCGTTATGCTGAGATATTCTTTGCACATTAATGGTTTTGTCGACATGAGAGACTCACCTCAGATTCAGATGAATCACCTTTGCTTTGTCCATTGGCTTCTTCGGATTTCTCTTCTTCGGGTACCTAAATGTAAACATTCTCGAGACGGACAACTAACACAACTCTCGACATCAAAGATGAAATTCAAAAAGGTAGTACTCACCTCTTCTATTCGATCAAAATCAGGGAACGCCATGACTCTAGGAAAACGTCGAGCAAACTGCAATAAATAACACCACTTGTTCCTGGATTGAAGAAGAGTCTTTTACTCAAAATATGCAAACAATACATGTATTTACAACCTCAGCTTTAGTAATTACCGCTTTTTGCAGGATTTTGAAGTCATATGTCGAACGAACAAGTTGTAGTGGTTACGTTTCCACCAGTAAAGTATAGAAGCTGCTAGCAACAGCAGCAATCGTCATTGTTTGCTTGCGACAAGGTCAGAAATGGTCAAAAATGGTCTCTTCTTGAAAAGCCTGATCTCACCAGCAGCTTTCGTTCCTCGGCACTCCCTGAAAAAGTTAGATGTACAGGAAAAGCATGCGATTTAATTAGACAAAGTGAACGTACTGGAAGGATTTGCATGGGTAGTCGCTAGTAGTAACAATGCCTAAAATTGTATAAGCTTGTAGTAATCGGGTGGAAGAGAAAATGTAGAAAATTATACCGTTCCAAGAACTAGGAGTTTTAACATCCTTGCTGGATGTTATAGTGAAAATTTCGCTGACTTTTTTCGATTTTTATTGTACAAGCAGGCCGCTCAGAAGAAGCTGAATCAACATATACTATACTTGTGGATGATATGTGTGTTATTCGATCAACATGACAATTAAACAAACTGCACTTGTTAAAGACACCGTCCACCCAGACTCTCGACATCCATGTTTTGGTACTTCTGGGGCCTTTTCATGTTCCTGATTCCGAACATGAAAATTTGCGTTCGTGAAAAAGTCGAAAATTCGCAAAAACTACTGCAGTCCCCAGGCCGGTTCTCAGGGCCCGTAGTAAACCCCTCGTGGTTGTCACAACATAAAGGGACTATGTCGTTATAGCTCGGAGTATCTCGCAAGACTATAGCGAGCTATCCGCAGGGCGCCGCAAAACGAGCGCCTCCGCGCGTCATTGAACCGCTGATGACCGCGATAACAGCGGTCACACGCGCTGCGCTATGAGTACAGATATGCCGTGGGGTATTTGCTTAACAAGGCAAGAATGTAGTATACCATGCTTGCCAGAGCAGGTAAATCAATCAAAGGAAATCCAATAACTAACTATCCTCGCGTGTGCGCGCCTCTTTCTCCATATTTTGACTCATTATCTCATGTTCATCAATATTGATAGGAAAACGCAGTTGATCTATGTCTGTTGCAGAATTATGCTCATCTTTGTACACCATGCTGTAAGAAGCGCCATTATCCGCTATGGCAGGACCATATTTGACTGTTGCCCTCATAAAAATTGAGCGTGTCAGCCCGTGCCAGATTCGTGCCAGCTCCGTGCCAAGACACAGATGGTCTAGCAGCGCGCACATTCGCTGCGCTGTATGCTACTACGCCGTGCTTTGCTAGGGAGAGGTTACATGTAGCAAATAGAGCAGTTGCAGCAAATCAGTATGGAAAAACGATATGCATGCCTTATCCGTAAGTATTGTTGAAGGGTTAGCTACTACTTTTGCAATTATTGTGAAACAGCTCAACAACTCAACATAGCTTGTAGTTAGCGCAGTGCCAGTGTGAGAGGCCGGTGTGCTAGACGTTGGGGGTACAAGTTCTAGGCGACACTATCTTTTTTTGCTGGCAAACTGAATTTTGCAAAGGAACGTAAATTAGAATTTTCTTTTTGAAAGAAAATGGAATTTAAAGTAGAATACATATTGAAAGTGTACAAGAAAAATCAAAATATTATCATCAGCATTCAGTCCGTTCAAAAATGGGCTATTCCATTAGCCATAACGCCAGACGGTCCTTTCTCATAAACACGAAAGGAAACGATAGGTGCATGGCTAACGAACAGCAACCAGCAAAGATATGTGGTCGAAACTGCCAAGAATGATGAAAAGATCAAGAATTTGCGAAAGTTTGGCACAAAGAAGGGACTTTTTGCTCAAACAAGGTGCATAGCAAAAATAAAGAAGAAAAACTGCATAAGTACGAAAAATATGGCTAAGTATGAGTCTAACATACTTTTTAGTTAAAATAAACTCACCTTTTTTCAAATACCAAAGCGGCAGCAGCAGAAGTACTTGGAGAATAGGGAGAGGCGCATTGCTCGAACAGTTAGGCGCTTATCAGCTGTTGATATTGATTGCGGTTGACGTGCGTTATAGAGAACTGTGTGCATGTGCGACCTATTGCGAGGCTGGCGTAGTCGAGCTCTAGTCTTGCGCTATGTCTCTGCGTCTCTATGACGGACAAAGTATTTCGCCGTCTTGTTCGTCACGACATGTCGCAATATGTCGCTATATGTCGCGATATGTCGCGACAAAGTGCGACTACCCTGACGCTACGCATCGATTGCATCCGCCGGCAATGATAAAGGATAGCCGCTTTGCCAGCCTCGCTCCTTGATAGTCAGCACATGTCACAGCATACTCCGAGCTATACGTCACGATGTCCGGGGGGTTTACTACAGGCCCAGGAATGGATGGATAGGCGCGATTGGATGAACGCGCACGGATGGCGGGCATTAATGGAAGGGAGCGGTGCCGCTTGAGGTCATCTGCGCTCTTCCAATTCCGAATTTTTTCGCTTTCGAAACGACCTTATACGCCGCAACTTGGGCATTGGCTAGAGGGGGTCCTTCTATCGTATGGCGCCTAAAGCTCAAGACCCTTAACTTAGGGTGGATGGTGCCCATAGGTACGGGCTTGCGCTTGCCTTACTTTTCTAGCTTCCTTGTTGCAACAGCTTTGGTACTCTCAGTATTGGTCACAATGCAAGACCGACACCATTTGGCCAATTCTTGTAAGGAATCTGTTTTGTAGTGAAACTTCATCGCCGGTTTTCGAACCTGAAAGGAAAACTGACGCTTCCTTCATTGTACACGTATCAGCGTATGTATACTGTACCCCTTTTGTCTGCATTAAGGAACGGAATTCATGTACAAACGCTGAAATAAAGGGGTCGAAACAAATATTAACAGTGCTGTTCTTGTGGTGAAGTCGTACTTTTCGTTTACTCTATAGTGAAAATTTATGGTTGCAAAGTCGATTGATTGGCGGCAAATCGTTAGGGTCTGAGGCATAATAGTGCTTATGGAGGGTGATCCATATGAAATGTGACGCATAAAATTTTTCATAACTTTACTAAAAGTCAATAAAATTTGTAGTTTTTGTTTTTGATTGAGATTATATAGATTAATTTCAAGTTTTTCGCCTCCGGCACTGTTGAAAAATTTACCCTATTCAAAAGAAATCTCACGATGCGCAATGGTTTTTGGTGAAATATGTGTCTGTCTCAGCTCTCACCATTCGCCTTTTAACAATTGGGTTATTCCTTACTTCAGTTCTTAGCGTCCCAGTAATCTCTTAGACACATGCGAAGATACATGCGTTAGATTATGATTCATCTAAAGTTTTACTTATGCCGAAATCGCTTTTGATTTAAGTTGTACATATGTTGGTCTTTAGTATGTATCCCAGGAATAATAGGAACTTCCCAGCACATTGTATACCAACCCTCCAGATGATCAAAAAATTTCGATTGTTCGCTGTGAAATGCGAGAGCTTAAATTAGCTTCTTCACTTTAGGCAGAATACAAGTATTTCTCATTAGCAAAATATCTCTTCTTCCATCTACAACACCACAGCTTCTCAATCTTATACATAAAACGTGAGGAACTACTAAAACATGCTAATTTACTCAAAACCTGCCAAAGAGAAGGAACCAACCCATGTTTGGGATACTGAAAGATCAAAAAAAGTCAGGATAGTCATGTTCATAGTCAAGCATGGGATGTGGCAGGCCACACCGGGGGTCGTTTTGAGGGGTCAAGGAGGGGGGGGTCGTTACCGAGGTGACACTGATAGCGCTAACATGATATTCGTTAGCAATGTCAGATAGATGCATTATCCGAAATTCTGGCACATTGATGTTTTGGCGTCACATCATATACGTACAGTAAGCACGCAATAAAAGAGTACTAAAAGCATAAGAGCATTTTCATAAGGAGGATGTGAAACAACCTCCGTGGCCCAGGTTTCAGCGAATTCTGAGGTTTGGAAATATTGGGCCAAACAAATGAGATGATCAATTTCGAACATGCTCATTTTGTTTCAAAGGTGAGTCATTATTTCTTTTTTCACTTAATACTTGTCTGCTCACATTAGGATCCACTAATAATCTACAGATTATGGAATTAAAAGCATGATAAAATCTTGTTTGCTCCATTTTTCGCTTTCGATGTTCAAGACTAGAGAAGACCAATCAGGCTCAAATCGACGACAAGCGAACATCAAAGGAATCCGAACAGGAACATTAATGCTGGAAAGAGGAAGAACTTCCACAAAGAACCATTTTTAGATTGTTTGTCTATCTTTATCCCAAATAACTTGAGGGTAGGTTTAAAAAACTTTCGGACCCACCTAATACTTTCTCCGTGAGGTATTTTCCACCAAACATCCCTCTGATGTGGAGCAGTCGGAATGTATGAACTAGAAAGGATGTCATTTGCGACTATCTGATTTGATTGAGCACTGCATTTATGAACGTAAAAAATGTAAGAAGGAACTTACTAGCAATCATGAAGCGGAAAAATGGCCAAAAACCAGAAAGGGTACGATAATTTCGATATTGATATGGAGGACTTGAAGGATAATGAGAAGAAGAAATGATTCGATGTTCGGGATGAATGCGCTTAATTTGTCGGATACCAGTGTATAACTTTCTTCAAATTTGGTACCTTTCATTATTTACCGCAAACCTTGTACTTAACATTCTTTAACACTTTATTAACAAACGTTTTGTAATTTTTAATTTTCTGTAAATTTGGAGTAAACATTTTTTTGAATTTCTTTCAGCTTAATCACGCAGTCTGTTGAATCCCTGAAACCTCAATCAATACGTATCGTTACATTTTGGATTTGGATTCCGCTACATTACAGCATATGCGAACTATAGTTTTCTTGTAATCTTGATAACCATACATTCGATAGTCTAGAGACAGGGCGCCAAAAGTGAAGGTTGTTTGTACATC